ATTAGGGCTTAAACACTCGAACACTTATTCGGACCTCTTGCATGATGACGGCAGATAGTAATTATGGTGTTACTGCCATTTCTCATGCATTACGGTTTCAACACTCGGACACTTATTCGGACCCTCTTGCATGATGCAGATATGTAATTATGGTGTTCACTTTCCATTCTCATGCATTAGGTTAAACCTCGGCACTTATTCGGACCCTCTGCATGATGCAGAATATGTAATATTGTATTTATTAGCCATTTCTCATGCATTAGGGTTTAAATAATTGGACACTTATTCGGACCCTCTTGCATGATGGCAGATATGTAATTATGGTGTTCACTTGTCATTTCTCATGCATTAGGGCTTAAACACTCGACACTTATTCGGACCCTTCTAATGACGGCAGATATGTAATTATGGTGTTTATTTTCCATTTCTCATGCATTACGGTTAAAACACTCGGACACTTATTCGGACCCTCTTGCATGATGGCAGATATGTAATTAGGGTGTTTAGTTGCCGTTTCTCATGCATTAGGGTTTCAACACTCGGACACTTATTCGGACCCTCTTGCATGATGGCGATTTGTAATTATGATCTTCTGTTGCCATTTCTCATGCATTAGGGTTTAAACGCTCGGACACTTATACGGACCTCTTGCATGATGGCAGATATGTAATTAGGGTGTTTACTTGCGTTTCTCATGCATTAGAGGTTTCAACACTCGACACTTATTCGGACCCTCTGCATGATGGCAGATTTGTAATTATGGTGTTCAGTTGCCATTTCTCATGCATTAGGGTTTAAATACTCGGACATTATTCGGACCCTCTAGCATGATGGCAGATATGTAATTATGGTGTTTATTTGCCAATTCTCACGCATTAGGGTTAAACACTCGGACACTTATTCGACCCTCTATTGATGATGCAGATATGTAATTATGGTGTTTATTTGCCATTTCTCATGCATTTAGGGTTTCAACACTGGATAATTATTCGGACGCTCTTGCATGATGTAGATATGTAATTATGGTGTTTACTTTCCATTCTCATGCATTACGGTTTTATAAACTCGGACATT